CGGGGCCCGAGAAGGCGGCGGCCGGCGCGCCCGTGCCGGACACCCCCCGGAAGAAGACCCCCATCCAGAAGCCCCCGCGCAAGAAGAGCCGGGAAGCGGCGGGCGAGCTGGGCAGGGCGGGCGCGCCCACCCTGTAGCAGGCGGCGACCCCGCGGTGCCCGCAGCTTCCCCCGGCTTAGCAGCGCTGCTTGCCACCCCGCGTCCCGCGCCCGCCCGGCGTCTCCCGCGGCGGCCTCCCGGGGCCCGAGGCCAGGAGCGGCCTGGCGGAGGCTGCGTCTCCGTGGCTCAGGCTCCAGCGGCGGCTCCTTGATTGGAGCTCGGCGCTTCGGCGGGAAGGCGCCATCCCCTTGGTCGAGGCCTGACAGGCGCTTAGCTGGCGACTCCCTTCCCACTGACCGAGTTACGGAGGGCTCCGACCAGCCCAGCTCTCAAAGGCCGAGGACGGGAGGGTTCTGCCACGTGACCATCTCTTACCCGCCAAGAGTGCACTTGGCTGGGGCTGCCTTCTCATTGGCTGAGACCAGAGGCACTTCTGCCCCGGCTGCCTCTCATTGGCCAGGGCCTGGCGCCTCTGGCTGGAGGCTCTTTTCCTTGGTAGCCCGAGGCTACTTCTACTGGCCTCACTCCGGGGCATCCGGTTGACCGGAGCCTGGGGAGGAGGGCTGGTCTCTGCTCCTCAGGGGGCTCAGCGCTCCCGGGTTCCGCCCATCCGCTCCCTTCCCCTCCCTGCGCCCCCAGCCCCAGCCTCCCTGCGCCCTGGCCCCTCAGCTGTCGAGCTGGTTTTGATGGCCTCCCACCGCCTCACACGCCGTGAGAATCCAAGGGGCGACTCCAGTGGCCTGAGGAGACATATTTATAGCCCCCGGCAGGGCTGCTCCCACCCCATCCGGGTGCCCCAGGGTCGGCTCCTCCCGGCAGGGGCTTGGCCAAAGCTTTCTTAATAAAGTGCCTTCTTTCGTCCTGTGCTCTGACTGCTTCTTATCTGCTGGGCCTCAAACAAGGATGCCCTTCCCAAGAAATTGCATGTGACCTCTTCCAGCCTGCACTCACGCCCCAGGACCCTCGGCCTGAGTGGAGCCTGGGAGCCCAGGTGTGGGTCTCCGGGGACCCTGGAAGTGGGTTGTGTCCATCTGCCCATCATTCATTTGTTTATCAAGTTTATTGGGCACCCACCTTGGCCCACCCCTTCCTGGGTGTCCACCAGTGGCCGCCTGGATGAAGAATGGGCTGGAACAAGGGTGGAGTGCCTTGGCTACAAGGAGCCAGTGCGTGGGGCTGCTTCTGACCTGTGCTTTCCCCAGTAGCCACTGCTCTTACACTTGGGGGCTCTGAGCTGTTTAGTGTGGCTGGGGCGGGTCAGAAGCTGGGGCCAGGGGGCAGTGGGCCACAGGCACAGCCTCCAGCTGGGCCTCATCTGGCACAAACAAGGCGGTCTGGCAGTGCACAGAGCCCCGCTATCCGCCTCAATGGGTTCCTTGTCCTATGCCGGAAACTCACCCGCCCACCCCGCCTGTCCACGGGAGGGAGAGGAAGGGGAGCGTGCCTGGCCCACAGTCCTGGCTGGCCTTGCAGGCAGCACCCTGCTGCCTGGCCTCAGCCAGCGCCCCTTCTGGCCTCGCCTTCTATCCGTGACCATTTGTCCCCCCGGGGTCTTCACTGCTTCATGCCCTTGGGCAGGCCTCTCACACGACCTTCCTGAGCTACAGAGCCTTATCTTTCTGTTGTGCCCACTGTCCTCCATCCTCCCATCTCCCTGTCTCTGCCTGGAGGGCCTCTTTTCCATCTTTTGATGCCCAGCTCTTTCCATCAGAAGATTCTGCCAAGATTCTCCAATCATTTCCCCACCTCCACCCTGCAGCCCCCAACACAGCATCAGGCTGACCAATGCTGGCAGCTCAGGGATCTCAGCTGGCAAGTGTGTCACCCTCTGGCTGGATACCACATTGAGGTCAACTTCGGTGACCCGTACAGGGGCTCAGCCACCTAAGTGGAGATGGCGTCACGCCACAGGCAGCACATCTGGCGTGGGCTGCATGGGCATAGTCCCTGCATCGGGCCTGGTCAGACAGCACGTGGAATGCAGGCTCCCTGTCTCCGGGGCACGCTGCTGCCTTCAGGCCAGCTGGGCACTGTCCCAGCTGTCGCCCTGCGGCTGGCTAGCCTCTGATCCATTCGGGCACCAGGCCCTGCTGGCTGCTGGAGTTGAGAACACAGGCTTAAAGTCAGCCAGGAGGGGCAGATGCCCAGCTGAGCCCAGCAAGCGCAGGGCAGTGACTGAGGATGGTGGCGGAGGGCAGTGCAGTGGTTCAGCCCACAGTCTTGCTGTGCCCCTCCCCACAGCACCACCACGTTCCACACTGCTGCTCCCTGACCCCCCCAACACCTGGCTCTAGCTCTTCTCCCCCCCAGCTTGGATCAGCATAGTGTGGGGAGACCAGAGTGGTCACATTGACTGGGCCTTTCCCGTGACCCCTCCTCCCCCTGCCCTGGGAGCCTCACATTCGCCTAAGACTCTGACCTTCAGGATCCCCTCTGTGTGGGTGCCTCAGGGAGCAGGGGCGCTTTCCGAACTTCTGGCAGCCAGGCTGAGAAGCCTCCTAGGATGATCTGCCTGGGGAGGCAGCTGCTGGGACCCTTCCACAAGCCCCCTGCCTCATACCCGCTCCCTCCCCACCCCCTCAGGCCTGCAGCAGTGCCAGCTCCCAGTGCAGGCGCCACAAAAGGGAACCGAGGCTGCTGGAACCTCCGTTGCCATGGGGACGGGGACCACAGGACCCACATCTGGTAGCGATTGAGGAGGAAAAATTATGAGTCGTGGAAAACGCAAATATTTTCTGTAGCACAGAGCACAAAGGAGCGGGAGGAATGTGGGACTAGAGAAGGCCTGAACCCGGCCAGGTTTCAAATGGGGGACAGCACACATCACACAGAAAGACAGCTACACACACACACAACCACACACACACAGAAACGCTGAGAGAATCACCCTACAACACACACTCCATTAGACCTACAGAAACGTGGAGAGACTCACCCACGACAACATGCACACCACCAGATGCACAGAAACACCGAGACAGACACACACGCTCAACACGGACCCACGCACACAACCAGACCCAAGAGACACTCAGCTGCCAGGACACACACAGTCTACTAGACAGAAACAAACACTCCCTCCCCAACACAAACACACAGTTCACCACCCACAGAAACACACCTGTGACACCACATGTATGCACCAAAAGAACCATAGAAACACCGAGAGAGACACACGCATTGCAGCAAACAGACATGTTCAGTCAGCCCACAGGAACATAGGGAAGCACAATTACCCGCAAGACACACCAGATCCAGCCGACGCACAGAAACAGAAAAAAACAGACTCATTACCAGCAGACACAAGAAAACCGAGACAGACACTCGCTGCAACGCACACACCCATGCACCAGGGGCCACAAAGGACCCACAAAACAGACACAACCCTGTATGGGAACAAAAACATACACCACCAACTTACAGCTAGAGAGACACAGACCCTGCAACACACACACACACCGCTGGAACCCCAGAAGCACTGAGAGGCCCTCACTGTGTGTCACATACACCCTCCACCAGAGACCCCCAGATGGATCCACACTGAGACACATACACACATGCCACCAGACAAACAGAAATTCGGTGACACACAACCTGCCACCCACACACACACTCCACCAGATCCACAGAAACATTGAGACACATACCTTACAAACACACACACATCATCCGACACACAGAAACACAGAGACAGACACACCAAGAAACACACACATCCCACAGCAAACAAATACAGGGACTGAGAGAGCCTGCAACAGCCACGCATAGCCCAGCAGACCTGACTACATGCTGCGGCCGGCCCTCACTCTAAAAGACACACACACACATCCCCCCCACACACACACTCCACTAGAAACACAGATACGAGTCCTGAACGCACCCTGCACGTGCAGGTACATGGAGCACCGAGGCAGACACACAGAGTGGACACTCACAAGCCACCGAACATGCAGAAGCACTGAGTCAGACAGCCAATATGGAAATCTGTGTGAGCCTGGTGCTCTGGAACAGCACGGTGGGCGAGAACGCCGATTCTGTGTGCTGAGAATCGGCTGACCTGAAAGGACCGCTCTGCCCACACTTAGGCCGAGACCCCCTCCTTGCTCATTACCCCCTTGTTTACCAAGCCCTGCCTTTCCTTGCAGACGTTCCTCACGAGCGAACTTTCTTCTTATTGCTGTAGCCTGAATACAATCATCTCCCTAACTGTGGGCTGCATTTCCCCCAACGGTTCAGATGCCCCGATTTGGCGTGGATTGAACATTGCCTTCAGATCCCCATTCACTCCCTCCAGGTAATGGGCCTCTTGGAGCCCTTGGGTGCCACTCCTGACTGGCAGTTGGGGGCGCCACGGGGCGTCCTACTCTGGTCCTGTGCTCTGGGCTCCTGTCCCTTGGTAGCATGGTAAGAACTTGATTACTTATTTTTTTTAGTTGAAGCATAATTGACATATAGCATTATATTAGTTTCAGGTGTACAACATAATGATTCAATATTTGTATATATAGCAAAATGATCACCACTATAAGTGTAGTTAACATCCGTCACCACACAGTTACAGAAAAATTTTTTTCCTCATGATGAGAACTTTTAAGATCTACTCCTTTAGCGACTTTCAGATATACAATAGAGTACTATTAACTATAGTCATCATGTTGTGCATTACCTACCTCCCCAGAACTCATCTATTTTATAACTGGAAGTTTGTAACTTTTGACCACTTCCACCCATTTTGCCACCATCCCCACCCTCCGCCCACCTCGGGCAATCACCAGTCTGTTTTCTGTATCTATAAGCTTGGTTTGTTTTTGTTTGTTTTGTTTTTTTAATTCCACATATTAGTAAGATCATACAGTGTTTGTCTTTCTCTGTCTGACTTATTTCTCTTAGCATAATGCTCTCAAGCTCTGTCCATGTTGTTGAAAATGGCAAGATTTAATTCTTTTTTGTGGCTGATTAGTGTTCCATAGTATATATATAGCACAACTTATCTTTTTTTTTTTTTTTTGTGAGGAACATCAGCCCTGAGCTAACATCCATGCTAATCATCCTCCTTTTGCTGAGGTAGACCGGCTCTGAGCTAACATCTATTGCCAATCCTCCTCCTTTTTTTCCCCCAAAGCCCCAGTAGATAGTTGTATGTCATAGCTGCACATCCTTCTAGTATGTGGGACGCGGCCTCAGCATGGCCGGAGAAGCGGTGCATTGGTGTGCGCCCAGGATCCAAACCTGGGCTGCCAGTAGCGGAGCGCGCACACTTAACCACTAAGCCACAGGGCCGGCCCGATAGCACAATTTCTTTATCCAATCATCCATCAGTGGACACCTAGGTTGCTTCCATATCTCGGCTATTGTAAATAATGCTGCAATGAACATGAGGGTACATACATCTTTCAAATTAGTGTTTTTCTTTTCTTTGGATAAATACCCAGAAGTGGAATTGCTGGATCATATGGTACTTGTATTCTTAATTTTTTGAGGACCCTCCTCAAGGTTTTCCATGAGGAGGTTTTCCATAGTGGCTGCTGATTTTGTTTCTTTTTGAGGACTTGATTTCTGGTGCCTGGTTCTTTTGGTTTCCTGACTGATCTTGTCTCTGTTGGGTGAGTGACAACAGAATATGTGGTTTGTTAGTCTTTTCTATTTGTGTGTCCATTTATCTGTTTTGAGCTTAAATCGAGAGTTTGTACCTGCTGGGAAGATGGCTTGGAGATGTGACCAATAGATGGAAAGACTCGTGCTGTCTTGAAAGTTTTCTTAGGATCAGTTGGAGAGGCTATGATATGAACAGGTAAGTGAGCAGGTGCTTGTGACATACCCAACAGTTGGTACGCTGTGGCGAGGCTCACCTCTATGCTTGGCAA